TATTGTAAAAATGTCAATCCCTAATGCTTTAGCTCATTTAAGCTGGTAAATGAAAATCCAAACCGAAAAGCAGCTCAGTATTTATTTGGAATCAACTCAGAGTATTCCTACTTCTTTCAGGGGTAGTTTTCAAAATAAAATATAAAGTAAACAAAAGGTATCAAAGCAACCCAACTATTTATATCACTATGTTTGGAAGAAAAATCTCTAGTCTCCTCACTCATGGTAAGTGATTCCAAAATTTCAAAACTTTTCTAACTCAAATTCTCTAATTATTAATTAAAGGTCAGTTTCATGGGATGAAAACAACCTTGCTGAACTTGTTCAGTCAAAAACATTTGAATGGATTAAAGGGATCTCTACCTCTGCTGCATTTTCCTTTGGGGATTGGTGTCAATTTCTAATGCTGTGCTATAAGGAGACTTAATCTTTTCTCTTTTTCTTTTTTTTTTAATTATTTCTATGGGAGAGTACCTTTGTACCCAATTTTATAATAAAATTTTAATTCATCTAAAAAAAAATTAAAGGTCAGTTTCTATTAATTTTTTTAATCTTCTAAGGTGTATTTTTTTATTTTATTAAATGATTAACTAATTATAATTTCTTCTTTTTAAAATTTATTATTAGTTATATTTTTTATTTAATTATGAATTTATTAATTTAATCTTTGCTATTAGATCATGTGTATTTTTTTTTCTTGTTGAGTGATTAAAATTTTTCTTAAAGCCTTTTTTTGTATTATTTATAGGTTAATATTATTGGAGTGTTGAATTTTCAATTAAAAAATATAAGATTATTAGTAATTTTTTAAAAAGAAATTTGTTGAAACAACTTTTATTGACATAAATTATTGGTTGAAGGAGATAATTTTAGAGTTTGAAATTCTGAAGTTAAAGAACGTTATTCAAAGATTTCAATGGTTGTGAATAAAAATAATAATGAAGACATTAATATTAGTAATTTAGAGTGAGATTTAGGATTGTATCCTCAATTATGGTAAAAATGATAATTAATTGTTAAATTTATTTTTTTATGTTATATATATAATATTTTATATTATTTTGAGCTTGATTGGAAAATTTTTATGGCCCTTGTATATTTTATCAAGCTTTGTTATTAAGCACTATTACTTATTATATAGCCCATCAATTAATATACAAAAAAAAAAAATCTTTTTATTTTAAAATTTTTTTTAAATAATATAAATAAATATATAAATTATTTTCAGATCTTTAACTAAAATAAAAAGTCAAAAAAAACCCCTTATTTTGAAACATATGGAGAGGAAATCTGAAATCAAGATGAGATGTTTTGGTAAATAGTGGAAAACATCAAAGGGCTTTAGAGTCCAAAGACTTGTCCAGCCCAGGCCTCTAAAACAGTCCAGACTCCAATCTTTACCTCTTTACATTACAGTATATACATAATTTAAAAATTAACACCACTTAAATTTCCAAAAAAACTACTCAATTACTGTACCAAAAAAAAAAAAAACTACTCAATTACAACACCTTAAGGCCCAATATTCCCTTTTCTATTTCCGGCCTATCAAACCTTAAAATTCAAATTCCAATAGATTTAAGTCCTGGGCCTTAATTCAATCCAATCCAATTCCAAATAAAACCTCAAAATCCAAATCCTATTATATTCGGCCCTTGAAACTTAACCAATCCAATCACTTACACAATCAAGGCCTCTAATAACTATAAAAATAAAGAGTTAATCGTTACATTCTTTCAAGTTGCACAATTTAAATTAAACTTCTTGAATCTCTTATTCTCTCCTTTTAAGTAAAACCCAAAACTACCTCTACTAGTAATCCAAAAGTTGTAATCAATGATTTTATATGGATGACTTACAAGAGTGTTATTATTTGTTGAATATAGATGTCTTATATGTAATTTAGTAGATATTTACTAATATAAAATGAACTTATGTTATATTTGAATCTAATGTTTTTTATAAAATATGTAAAGCTAATTAGTTATATAAAATAAATTATTTATACATAATAAATTTGTTTAAACTATAAAACAATAACTATAATAATGGTAAACATAAAAAAAAAAGAGAACTATAGTAATACTAAATCATGTAATTATTACATTATATGCTATTAATATGATTCAATAATGTAGTGTATAAATACAATATTGACTTATATTATTACTTTATTTATCTTAAAATAATTGTTATTTTTATTTTAAAATTATTTTGAATTAATTATTTAAAAAAAATTTTAAAGTAGATAAATATTTTTTATTATTTTAACTATTTTATTATTTATTTATATATAAAATTATCTAATTACAAAATTCTCTTTTTATCTTATATTTCTTTTTAAGTGTATTATAAATAAATATAAATATTATCTTTAAACTGTTAATTAGAAAAGGAAGAAAATAACATTTATTTAAACAAATAACAAATAGACCGACAATCTGTTGATTCAAGTGGAAAAAACTCGATTCCCCTTAAGTAAAATTTTGAGTTTGAATATTGTGAATGAATGAAAAACAGGCGTTGGGAGAGTTTTTCATTAAATAGGATCTGATACAATTTAATTTTAAATTAATTAAAATTTAATATAATTATCGAATATCAAAAAATTAATATAAAAAAATAAAAAATAAAACAAGTAGTTACGCCGCACATCGCGCGGCATGTTAATTCGTTTCCATAAAAAAACAATGTGGATAAAAAATAGGACTTTGACTATTGTGACGAGGTCCACTTTGTGGGCTCTGCATATTCCCATTCATTTGGTTAGCCTTATTTTATATTTAGTTCAAAAGTAATAGAGGAAAAAAAAAGTTATATTTAGTTTAGGAAAAAAGAAAGAGAAAAAATGGAAAAAATAGTTTCTTTTTATATATTTTTTTTATTTTTTTCCTTGGTTTGACATTTAAATAAATAATTAAATTTAAAAAATTAAATAAAATAATTTTTTATTTTTTTCAATTTAAATATACTGTTAATATTGGAGAGAAAAGGACGTTTTTTTTTTTTTTTGAGAAAAAGAGAGGAAGGAGGAAGACTTCTTTTAGCCTCAGTTGAGTTGAATTTCAAGTCTCTTGCGTTTTCAAAAGAAAAGCAGTACGAACCGCACCAGGTCTGTCCCAACAAACTTTAGTCAAAAACGCAAAAAGTTGACCCTTTTTTTCTTTTCTTTTTAGGGGAAAATTACCCTTTCTTCCCTCTTTAGTCTCGTCTCATCTGATATGATAATATAAAATATCTACTATATTATTCCACACGGAAGACCTGCAGCACACTTGTAGACAACTAGATTGCATGGACAAAACGGCAGTCCAAAATGTAACGGTGAAATGCAAACTGCACTTTTTCCCTTTCCCTTCGTAATATTATTATAATTCGCCTTCGGTGTTTTCATCGATTTCAGCTTACAACCTCTTCCAACTCAAGCTCGGAACCTGGATGGTGGTTGCCACCTGCTTTCTCCTATTGGATTTCAAGTGTTGGTTAGATAAGAACTGGTTGGAGCTGGAAGAATATGAATTTGAGTCACGGCCCACTACGACCAGTTACGAAAGGAGCAACTGTAGTGGCGGCAGCCGCCTCAGCAATCCGTTACCAAAGTCTGTAATTCAAAGCGTTAACGCACTAACAGTAGCTGATTTCTAGCTACGTTGTTTGGGCTTACATATTATTGAGCACCAATTGTCTAAATTCGGATTCTTGCGCCTCATGTTCTGGGATGGAAAAGCTCAAATGTGTGATAATTTATGGTTTGTGGTTGTCCCCTGCTCATGTACATCATGTGTGCTCTTTGTTCCAAATTGAATTTTGGGTACTTTGGCCAAAAACGATGCGGTATACAACAGCAATAGCGACGGTAATTAATTTAATCCCTCTTCCTTTTCAAACGATTAGAGTCAATAATGGAATTGTGATTTGATGCAGTAGTTCTAACATTGTTACATATGTATTCAAATTAAATCTTTGCAGATGGAATATCGTCTGAAAAAAATAAAAAATAAAATCAAAAGGGTAAAAGAATCAAGCTGGAGAAGAGATAGGGAATTGATATGGAACGCAGGAGAGGATGAGAAAAAGATGATAGACCATAAATTACTAATCATGGAGCTACAACGACCTGAGGTGATGGTGGAATTGCCAAAATGGGTGAGAAAGCGAATAGAAGATGAGATTTTGAAGATACGACAAGAAACTGAAGATGAAATGAGCAAATTATGGTATATTAAGAATGAGCAAACTAGGGTTGGGAATATCTGCATGTGAGAGAGTGGATGTGGATCTGCATCCTACGGAAGTCGCTGAGGAAAAGTTTGAGCTTTGAAGTGGATTGGTGGGGAAAAATACGAGTGAAACTCAGGAAATTTTCTTGTTGGAGTGTGTCCTGGCAAGGAGAGAAGCGAACGAAGAATTTTTCAACACACCAGGGATGCTACGTTTGGCGGTATTCCCCACCAGTAATGTACTTACTTCGATTAAGGTTTACGTTTTTTAATTTTTATCTTCATATTAAATAGTTAAAAATACTCT